TAATATCATGAGCATCGATCGGCGCTGAAATCGATGATATGCATCAACCAAGTCAGCGAGCCTGACCACCCGATCCCGTTAGTCGCCTTTTACGCCAAGCATGGGTTGCTGAAGACCTATAATTCTACCCCGGAATCTTCACGGGTCAGGGGATTTGGTTGGGTTTGGTATGGTGTCGCAGAATGTGTATATGATTCATTTTAACATAACATTTTTTAGTCTAGGTGTTGCAATATTTCTGCTGGCCTATAGTCACCTTTTACGGTAAGCATGGGTTGCTGAAAACCTATTCTACTCCGGAATCTTCACGGGTCTCACAGACTATGGAGATTGAGAAGGAAGATTGTGTCTCCTTTCAGAAAACACACATCCTAAATGTTATAATGGGTTGAGTCTATGACTGCTACTCCCCACAAAGTAGTACCTGTGGCCCCGTATGACGGTCTGTGATGGAATTAAATTTTGTAGCATGCATGCATAATGATAGTAGTGGTGCATTCTCACTTACAAGAGGTTAACGACGTTCTGAATGTAATTGTTTGTTGTTTAACGCCGCACTCAGCAATATCCCAGCTCTATGGCGGCGCTCTAGAAATAATCGAGTCTGGGCCACACAATCCAGTGATTTGCATCATGGGCATAGACGCTATGAATTGGTATTCGATGGCATGCATCAACCACGTCAGCGAGCCTGACCACCCCATCCCGTTATAATTAGTCGACTTTTACGGCAAGCATGGGTCGCTGAGGACCTATTCTAACTCCCGACCTTCACGGGTAAATTGCTGCTATAACCACACATCTTCCATCATTCGTAATATCAAAATTGGTTGGTTTGTTGTTTAACGCCGCACTCAGCAATATTCGAGCTATATGACGACGGTCTGTAAATAATAGTTCGGACAAGACAATCCAGTGATAAATATCATGAGCATCGATCCATGCAATTAGGTGAGGTGAAATGGGGTTTAACGTCGCGTCCAAGATTATTGCACTTATATAGCGACGTGCATGTACATGTACATGTACGTGTTTGTGTGCCTGCTTGTACTAGTCCGGACGGATGCCGATTTATAGTGCTAGCTCACTGAGATACCATGCCGCAGTTTAACATGAATACCCCACCCAGACACAGTATACTGACTCCGAGCCGACCAGTCCTTGTTTTAGCCCCTTAATGCCGAGCGCCAGACAAGGTAACAACAAGTACCATCGTTTAACGTCTTTTGGTATGACGTGATCGGGGATCGAACCCCGGACCATCCGCTCTCCGAGCGGACGCTCTACCACTAAACCACGGAGGCGGTCCCCATGCAATTGGGACCGATGACATGTATCAACCAAGTCAGCGAGCCTGACCATCCGATCCCGTTAGTCGCCTTTTACGACAACTAACGTCATATCAAAAAACAAACTAGATTGTATAAGGTATAGTTAATTGTATACTAGCCACATAAAGAAACTGTGCACGGAGAAAATATAGAAAATCTGATATAAGGGCACACCGTCCATATATGAAAGATAGGTTTGAACACAGCAATTATTGGAGACATTCAAACGCTCATGCACGTGCCATGCGATATGACGTCATTGATGGGGGCCTATGGACGTGCAATGTGTTTCTGCACACAGCATGTGCAACTCAAAATTCGTTGTCACTTTGGAAAGCATGATCTGTGGTCATTCAAAAATTCAAAACTTCTCAGGCGCAGACACAAGTATATCACAAGCAAATCATGCCAAGATTGACAGCTGCACAGCGTCATGAAGCCATTGGAATGATCCGAGCGGGAATGAGGCAACAACAGGTGGCAACACATTTCCAATGCCATCGTAACACGATACCGGCATTGGTGAGGCGTTATCAGAACACAAATGACGTTGCCGACCACCCACGTTCAGGACGTCCCCGAGTAACGACGCCAAGACAGGACAGATGGATTCGAGTGACACATCTCCGACACAGGTTCCAAACGGCAGTAACGACGTCCCAGACAATTCCTTGACTGCGCCGTATCCATCCCAACACTGTCAGGAATCGTCTACGTCAGTACGGGATTCGACCACGATGCCCTGCCATACGTCCCATCCTGACACACCGTCATCGAGTCAACCGTCTAAGATGGTGTCGAAATCATGTTCGCCAACCTCGAATATGGTGGAGAAATGTTGTCTTTACAGATGAATCGAGGTTCAATATTTCCCACAGTGACGGGCGCCAACGTGTCTACCGGCGTTTGGGAGAACGTTATGCACGCAACTGTATTGTGGAGAGGAATCGTTTTGGAGGTGGCTCTGTGATGATTTGGGGTGGGATAACAGCACGGCACCGAACCCCTTTGGTGGTTGTTCAGGCCAATCTCACTGGTGTTGGCTACAGAGATCAGATTCTGAGGCCTGTGGTCATTCCTTTCCTGCAACGTCATGGCCCGGGATTGACATTTCAACAGGACAACGCTCGTCCTCACACTGCTAGGGTCGCAATGGATTTCCTTCACCATAACAATGTCATGTTACCGCCATGGCCTGCAATTTCTCCAGATCTCTCCCCAATAGAGCATGTGTGGGATGAAATGGAGCGCCGTCTGCGTCGTCTTCCACATCCTCCAGATAACGTCCGTGACTTGGCACAGGATTTGAGGAGGATATGGCAGGCCATTCCGCAGGCCTTCCATGCCCATTTGGTGGACTCCATGCGTCGCCGATGCACTGCTGTGATTCACGCACAGGGTGGTCATACCCGTTATTGACTTTGTGACTTTGTCGTTTGACCCCCTACTCCATTTTGATCTTCTGACGTCATCGTAACAGATGTTGTTCAGGTCCCGTTGACATTTTCTTATGGTCCGATCATTCAGCTGCTACAGCTTCTGCATCATTTTGTTCTTACTGTGTTGTATTTCAATTCAGAATATATTTTCTCCGTGCACAGTTTCTTTATGTGGCTAGTATATTTATTTATGTGATGACAAATGTATTAACAGTCAAGCAACATGGACATACAGGGTAACATTTGTTATCAATATGTGACTCATTTGCAGGGCTGTTGATGCAAAAGAACACGATACTGAAAATACATTTTGCCTTGGAACAAAAATATTTCCTTAAACAAATCTGTTGTTGGTCAAATAAACCTTGGATTACCTGAAGCAAAAAAAGCCCCTCCGTTCCTTACATGACCTCAAAATGAGCCTCGCTACCTTAATTAGAAAGTTGTGACATCACTTCCTTTTGGGGAAGAATGCATTGGTACGTAACGATAAACATTTCTAAAACAGAGAATGCCATGCCCCTAATAACCGTACTAAGAAAACTATATGCACTTCCGGTTCAATTTTCTCAAATTCAATTTCAGCCAATCAGATACTTGATAATTTCTAGTTGAAAACGTATGTGAGATCTTAAAAACATCAACGAAAAATGCATTTCATTGACCTTGACTTTCAATTATGGTCACTAAAAAGATTACCTGTTCATGCCAAAAGGATATTCACTAAACGATTCAAGAGTCTTCTAAAGGACTGCGTTCGCTCGTCACGCCGAAGATCCGGGTTCGAATCCCGACGTTGGTACAATGTGTGAAGCCCATTTCTGGTGTCCCCCGCCGTGATATTGCTGGAATATTGCTAAAAGTGGCGTAAAACCAAACTCACTCTAAAGGACTATCCAGCATATAAAACCAAACGTGGTGCCCCTTGGTGGAACTGAACGTAAAGAGAAAAAACATCGTTTTCTTATTAATAGTATTTCACAGTGATCATTACCTACCCCTGATATTAGACTGTCATCTATGGATATCATAAGATTTTAATAACTTCCCATACGTAAGTTACCCGTGAAGATTCCGGGACAGAATAGGTCTTCAGCAACCCATTCTTGCCGTAAAAGGTGACTATGCTTGTCGTAAAAGGCGACTAACGGGATCGGGTGGTCAGGCTCGCTGACTTGGTTGATGCATGTCATCGAACCCAATTGCGTGGATCGATGCTCATGATATTAATCACTGGATTGTCTGGTTCAGATTCGATTATTTACAGACCGCCGTCATATAGCTGGAATATTGTGCGGCGTTAAACAACCAACCATACGTAAGTATTTACATGACATAACCAAGGCATATAACTAAACGATTTCTGCAGAAAACGGCACCTTTTTTGGTCGAAGTGGCAAACACAATTAGTGAGTGAGTTACGATTTAAAGTCACATCGGCAATATTTCAGCCATATAGTGACTAAATCAAGTTATACATTAAAATCTGTCGACAAAGGACAGTAAAAGCACTAGACTTTCACAGATGTAGATTTAAAACTAGCATATCATCATAAAATTTGAACTATTCACAACAGTACACAATAAAAATGGGCTATAGATCACCAATAACCAAAGGTAGGTCACCATACCTCCATTGTAACCTTGACCTCACACAAAGGTGGTTGGACCCGTGAAGACCGGGGTTAGAATAGGTCATCAGAAATCCATGCTTGTCGTAAGAGGCGACTAACGTGATCGGGTGGTCTGGCTCGCTGACTAACTTGATGCACGTCATCGATCCCAATGAGATATTCAGCAAGCCATGCTTGCCATAAGAGGCGACAATCGCGATCGGGTGGTCAGGTTCGCTGACCTGGTTGGTGTATGTCATCGATACCATTTCCGTAGATTCCAATAGCGTGGATCGATGCTCATGATATTAATCACTGGATTGTCTGATCCAGACCGCCGTCATATAGCTGGAATATTGCCGCGGGCGGCATTAAACAACCAACCAGTTGCGTAGATCGATGCTCATGACGTCCGGTTATCTAAAGACCGCCGTCCTGTAGCTTGAATAGTGCTGAGTGCGGCGTTAAACAGCAAACAAACAAACAACTTAGGTCGTTCACCACCTTGTCCCACCTGTCTCTTCACGCCGAGAGTAATACACACATGACATCACTGTAATGCCCAAGCGCGGAATATTTTAAAAAACAGAATGCGGTGGCGCCGGTCAAATACGGAATAGTTTTAATTCATTAATTCATTCTCATTTGCATGCTTCTGCTTATAAGTCTTAACGATGAATCTTGATACCACAAATGCCCGCATACGACAGTGGCTTTATGTCACTTGACCATCACACGACGGGATAATAGCCGTGTTTTCCAGGGGAGCTGCAACACAAATAATATATCAGGAAACGCATGTCAGGAAAAAAAATAATATACATATCGATCTAATTTTGGCAAAAACAAAAGTTGTAAAACGTACTTAGTGATAAAAATCCGTATCCGTTTTTAATGCCTCTCAGTTTGTTGTTAAAAGCCGCACTCAGTAAATAATCGAGTGGTGAGTGGTATCACGAGCATCAATCCAATTGGAATCGATGACATGCATCAACCAAGTCAGCGAGCCTGACACCCGATCCCAGCCTAGACGCCTTTTACGGCAAGCGTGGGTTGCTGAAGACCCATTCTACCCCGGATCTTCACGGGTCCTCTCAGATTTTTTATCAAATCATGTTAGTAGTATTCCTGCTTCGACATGAATCCACTCTATTTGTTAAAAACATATATACATTTACCCTTAATTGGTTTGTAAAAAAAAAAAATTCCCTCACTATCTGTCCACCTGGGGTATAATAATAGGTCTTCAGCAACCAATGCAGTTAAACTTTAGAGGTTGCATGATTAAAAAACATATTCCGCCAACAATGTAACAAAACAATATGAATATTTATTTTTTATAACGTGTTTTTTCAATCCTTCTATCTATCGTGTAGTTGTCCGATTTTCGATCACGAACGTTGATACTACTTAATTTCGTTTATCCGACATACTTGTTAATCCGACACAATCATATGCAACCATCGATGTCGGATTAAAGGGACTTGACTGTATGCTGTTCGCAAGAGGCAACTAACGGGATCGGGATCGGGTGGTCATGCTCGATGACATAGTTGATGCATGTCATCGTATCTCAATTGTGTATATCGATGCTCATGATGTCATGAATGGACGCCGTCATATAGCTTATCAACAAACAAACGGCCGAGACTCATGTCAATCTTTGGTTCCAGAAGCTTACGTGATTGTTTGTTGTACATCACGCGACGTTACAACTACATGACTACAGCCTGCACAAACTAGTCTGGACTAGACAGGGAAATCACTGATGTGAGCAACGTCCCGTGCAGTCGGGATACAATGACACGCATTCAACCATGTCACTAAGCCTCATCCTTTTCGTCGCCTTTCATATTGTTTGGAACAAATTCTATCCAGAATCTCCACGGCATCAACTGTAACTGTGTACTGATTCACCTTGTAATCATCCTGTTCACTGTCAACAGTTATTGATTCTAATGCTACTCTTTTGTCTACTGCAGTAGCCATGGCAGCCATTAATAAGTTATACACAATGTGAACTACTCAACAACAAAAGTTCCAGTGACACCAACATTTTTGTGCATTTTTCAAACGAGTAATGTTTATTTTTCAATATTGTAGTACATGTATGGAATCAATTCACAAAAACTCAACTGCTAGAGAAAAGCATGCATTCCATGCAAAAGTTTACCTTTATGCAAGCCCTATGCATTTCACAACCCAAGAATGAGTATAAAAACATGTTCGTCAACGGGATTCCATATGCATTGTTTAGCATCGTGCTGACAACCACTCAGAAAAACAACAAAATTACGCAATTATTCAACATTACGAAATGCCACGCCTGTCCGAAAGTGAGCGTCTGCGAGCCATTGGTATGCTTGAAGCAGTCAACGGGATGTTGCAAGACAATTTAACGTCCACAGAAACACCATTTGGCGTTTATGGCAACGTTGGCAACAGACGAATGCAGTCAGAGACCATCCTCGGATTGGCAGGCCACGAGTAACCAATAATCGACAAGACAACTGGATTCGAAGAACACACCTACGAAATCGATTCCAGCCAGCAACAGTGACTGCAAGAAGCATCCCTGGCCTTCGACGAATATCTTCACAAACCGTACGTCGTCGCCTCAGACGTGCAGGGATTGTCGCCAGAAGACCCGCCAGACGTCCCATTTTGACAGGAAACCACCGTCAAGCACGTCTACAGTGGTGCTGACAGCGTCTGCGCTGGACGGCCATGCAGTGGGGACAAGTTCTTTTCACTGACGAGTCTCGTTTTCACCTCAGCCACAGCGATGGACGGATTCGAGTGTACCGACGTCGAGGTGAACGTTATATCAAACATTGTGTCATGGAAGAAGATCGGTTCGGGGGGCGGCAGCGGTATGGTATGGGATGGGATTACAGCAAGACAGAGGACCCGTCTCATAGTGGTAGAGGGAAGTCTCAATGGACAGCGCTACCGCGACGAGATCATCGGCCCTGTTGTTCTACCGTTTATGCGTCGTCATGGCCCAGACATTACCTTTCAATATGACATCGCCCGGCCTCCAATTGCTCGACTTTTTCAGGATTCTCTTCAACAAAACAACGTGAATGTCATCCCCTGGCCGGCTCGCTCCCCTGATCTCTCACCAATCGAGCACATGTGGGATGAGATGGATCGACGTCAACTACGGGTTCGACAGACACTCCTGAAACTTCGAAACATGCTCCAGCTGATATGGACATATATCCCACAATTTGTGCGACGCCTGGTCCATTCCATGAGACGAAGATGTGTTGCTTGCATCGCAAACCAGAGGTGGACACACACGCTATTGATTTGTAAATTGTCATTTTGGCATGTTCATGGTTTTTTATGAAATCACGCATTTTCTGAAGTCAGTATGGCACATTTAACCATTTGTACTCACATGAGTCTTTTATCTGTTGCAAACCGTAATTGTTTCAGATTTGGTAAAAAGAACCATAGCTTTGCATTAAATCTTTTTCAATGTCACAGGAACTTTTGTTGTTCAGTATATGTTCTGAACACTAACTGAACAATGTTCGGATCCTTTCTGAGAATATCATGGGGAAGAATGGTTCAATTATCCTATGACCATAAGAGCTGACTTAACAGGCTCAGTTCAGTGACATGACTGAACGTTTTGTCACTGTGAGGTGAAATGGGGTTTAACGTCGCGTCCAAAATTTTGCACTTGTGGCTGCTTGTACTAGTCCGGAATGATGCCGATTTATAGTGCTAGCCCACAGAGATACCATGCCGCAGTTTAACATGAATACCGACACCGAGCCGACCAGTCTCTGTTTTAGCCCTTTAATACCGAGAGCCAGACAGGGTAACAAGCAGTACAATATTTTAAGGTATTTTGGTATGACGCAGCCGGGGATCGAACCCCGGACCTTCAGCTCTCCGGGCGGAGGCTCTACCACTAGACCACGGAGGCGGTTATTCATACCTAAGAAAAAGTTACCGTTTTGTATTCATGTCATTTCTCATACAGCAGTTTCTCTCTTAACAGGATGGTCAGGTCAGTGACGTGGCTGTTTGTGAACATGCTGTCACTGTTCTCCGATGGCATTTCGTTCTTCATACTTTCAGTCACCGGTTTGTCAAGACTCGTTTGTTTTTTAGGCTGCTGTGATATAGCTGTAATATTGCTTACTGAAGCTTTATACAACGTGACCTCTTGCATATACAGTAAACTACGGTTATAACGAACTCAAAGGGACCACTAATTCTAGTTCGTAATAACCGTAGCATATATACAAGAAATGGCCGGGACTAAACATAAGTTCGTTATATCCGTCAGTTCGTTATAAGCGTGTTCGTTATAAACGTACATGTAGTTTCCTGAATGTCACTTCTAATAATGGCGTACTTACGATCTGATTCAACCACTGAGAGGAGAGCAGGACCACTGATGTCGCATCCGCCGCACCATCCCCCACACCGAACCTCGATCAACTGGTCATTTGATGACCTTGTCACATGTTTTTCCTTTCCATAATGACTCCATGTCACCTGAAAGAAGAATTGTGTTCAAGAAAAATATCAACTGAAAGATAAAATTAACTCTGGTAAAAACGTAATTCCAGTATCCAGTATAGTTCTGGTTTGAGTCTGGTCCAGACAATCCAGTGATCGGTGTCATGAGCATCGATACACGAATTTCGGATCGATGACATGCAACAACCAAGTCAGCGAGCCTTGACCAGCCGTTAGTCGCCTCTTACGGCAAGCATGGGTTGCTGAAGAGCTATTCTACCCCGGATCTTCACGGGTCGTGTCCAATATACAAGAAAACCTGTGTCAACTCAATACAGAGTCATTTGCACGCTTCCGGCTAAAGATGTGTTTATGTCCGTACGTCAACAATTTCTTCAAACGATTTCTTCTGAACCATTAATTCGAAATTAACGAAATTTGACTGGAAGCATCCCAAGGATTCACATTTGTACAAATGGTTGGGCCAAATAGGGGTAATTTGGCTATATTACTTTAAGCGACTTCTTCTCTGAAACTAAGAGATAGATATCAACCATATTTGGATTGGAAGCATTCTCAGGTGGTGAGGATTCAAAATTGTACAAATGGTGGGGCTGACCACCACCACCCACCCACACACACTTGTTTCTACTGTTAATCCTCCACCTACATGTACTTTATATATTCTGTACTATGTCCCTCATTCAGTCATGTTTGTCAACGGTATAAGGATCTATACCGAAAGGTCGCTTTTCACAGTATTAAAGAAGTTGTAATCCATAAAATTGTGTCTACCTTGTCATCCTTCAACTTCTAAGTAATGCCTTTCAAACAATTTAACTTCTTCTCTGGAACCAAGAGATAGATATTAACCATATTTGGATTGGGAGCATTATCCGGTGGTGAGGATTCAAAATTGTACAAATGGTGGGGCGGGGCCAAATAGGGGTAATTTGGCTATATTGCTTTAAACAACTTCCTCTCTGGAACTAAGAGATAGATATCAACCATATTCGGTTGGAAACATTCTCCAATAGTGGGGATTCACAATTGTTCAAAATGGAGGGGCTGACCCCTTCAGGAGCTGAGGGCGGGGCCAAAAAGAGTTTATAATAAAACTTGGACACAGTTAAGATCCCCACCGTAACCATAAGTATAATTGTTGAGTATGAGAGGAATGCAGACATGCCACCAGGACTAGCCCTTCTGTTTATCTGTCCGGCATTCCCAAAGGAGTAAGACCCTTGACCATAACATGCAAACCGATATTATCCCCACCCTATAATAAACAGATACATTGTCTTGATTTGTTTGTTATGAAGAGAATAATACATTCATGCCAATAGGGGGCAGTCTGTAAATAATCGAGTCTGGACCAGACAATCCAGTGATTGACATCATGAGCATCGATTCACGCAATTGGGATCGATGACATGCGTCAACCAAGTCAGCGAGCCTGACCACCCGATCCCGTTAGTCACCTTTTACGGCAAGCATGGGTTGCTGAAGACCTATTCTACCCCGGAATCTTCACGGGTCACATTTGTATTTAGAGAAGTACACGTTCATGCTGTCAGATTTGCAATCCGACCCTTTTAAATGCTGACAGAGTCAAAGTTACGAAATATTTGCAGTTTTATATACATGTACAATGCAAATGTATATTTTGTCATGATTGCGTAAATATCCAGGTGAGCGATATAGGGCCTATGTTTACAGACCGCCGTCGCATAGCTTGGACATTGTTGAGCGCGGCGTTAAACAAAACAAAAATTCAGAACGTTAACTACCTCTTGTGAGAATGCACCAGTACTGTCAATAACGGAAAGCTACAAAATCTTACAGTCTTGTTCAGAGCTAACCCAGTGCCTCTGAGGTCCATCACAGCCCGTCCTGCTGGGCCACAGGTAGTTCCTGGTGGGGAGTAGCAGTCATAGACTTGACCCACTTTAGCATTTAGAAGGTGTGTTTTGTTGTAGAAGACACGATCTTCCTTCTCAATCTCCATATTCTGTTAAATAAATGAATTTCATTACAGCGAATTCTAAACAAACTGGAAAATATACATAATTAAGTAACCGTTAACTTATATTTTGCGCGGTTATGGAATGCCTCTTGGCAAGAAGGAAAGCTAGTTCAGGTTTTTTGTGCTGGACACTTTATTATGGATTACAGTGTTTGGTTGTTGTTTAACGCTGCACCCAGCAATATTGCAGCAATTTGACGGCGGTCTGTAAATAATCTAGTCTGGATCAGACAATCCAGTGATTGATATCATGATCATCGATCCACTCTATTTGGATATGATGACAAGATCAACCCAGTCAGCGAGCCTGACCACCCGATCCCGTCGGTCGCCTCTTACGACAAGCATAGTCGCCTTTTTGAGACAAGTATGGGTTGCTGAAGACCTATATATTCTACTCCAGATATTTACGGATTACCGTGTCTCTCATTCGCATGTATGATTTGGTTGGTTGGTTTGTTGTTTAACGCCGCTCTCGGCAATATTCCAGCTATATGAAGGCGGTCTGTAAATAATCGAGTCTGATCCAACAAACAAACCAAACCAAATCCATTAATTATTTTCTGGGTCATTTTTGTTTCATTTGCATATAATCCCATATGCCCCCTCAATATCAAATGGTCGGTCCCTAAGACTTAGCGTATGCTATCACAGAGTAGGTAGAGTGCGGCGTTAAACAACAAACATATAATCCAGTGGCAAGCATGGGTTGCTGAAGGCCTAGTCTGGCCGGATCCTCACGTATCAGCCATGTATTATTGAAAGAGAGTGAGAACCCACAGTAAATTAGAACGCGATTGTTCTGAACTTTTCGAGATATTTTAGCCACGCGTTTATTGTCAAGACCGCTGCAAATGATTATAGCGTGTCTTACCTCAATGTTCAAACCAAACTTTGAAAACACAAAATATCCATAACCCTTTACTGATGGGGTCTCTCCGTTGCAGTGGTAATTTTGTACCCTTGGGGAATCCATAAAATAAGGTGTAGGGAGCGAGATGTACTCTGAAGGTGTACTATTCATTGCATGGCAGTACACCTTGACTGGAGCTCCACTCAGTTGTCGTGGGTACAGCCAGTATTCTCCGTCAGTGTACGTGGAACTAAGTTGCCGTACCTCGGTACAGTTCGACACGGCTGAAACGACAAGCGAGTTGTTACTGTTTCGCATTACGCGAACTTCAGAAAACAATGAAAACCAAAAGAACATGTCCTCAATCGATGTCAAGTTGTCTGCCGATGTAGTTTATTCAGCTTCATTAGGGCCCAAGCGTTTAGTATTCTAGAGGGGTGCTGGGATTTTGGTTTGAGATCGAATATTTTCTGCAGTCTCTGCTTGAAGATATTTAATTTTTGTCTGGAGGAGCAAAACATGGGTTTTTGACCCACAACACATTATTTGGATTGTCAGTTTTGTTTACATGTCGCCGTCGCATGGCAGGAGTACTGGCCGTGGCTTGCGACGTAAGACAAAAATAAACAAACACTTGCTTGTCGTAAGAGGCGACTAACGGGATCGGGTGGTCAGGCTCGCTAACTTGGTTGGTGTGTGTCATTGAATATTGCTGAGTGCGGCGTTAAACAACAAACAAACAAACTTGTTTCAGCAAAATGTGGCGTGTAGGAGAGGGCATGCTTTATATGTTCGCCGAATCCTTGTGTCATCACTGATTTTCAGTGATCTATTCATATAATCTGTTCCGCTGAATAATCGAGACTGGACAATTGGTTATCCTCTGGCATTGTTTGTTGTTTAACACCGCAATGTTCCTTCTATATCTCGTTGTTTTAGAACATCTAGCATGTCCACCTTGAGTTTTTTTCCTGCATTTTCGGGGACAGATCATTCTTTCAAGACCTTGTCATATTGTGATACTTTTTATTCCCAGAGTTTACTAAACCATAGAAACTTGACAATACTGCTTAATGTGAAGAGCAATGCTAGGTTCATTCATTTAGGGAAATAATGCATTTCAATTGTTCATTTTCTTGAGTACGTGATTGAGCATTCGGTTTTTGGCCGTTATAATTAACATGTTTTTTTAACTCATGAAATAAATTGTTCACAGGTCATTCTGGATGTCCTGCAAATAGCTGTTGTGAAATTTAATATTAAATGACTGAAGCAATCTTCCGTCACTGCCAAGCCAAAATGTATCTTTCACAACCAAATGTTATTCGCGTGAAATACATTTGGAATTATGAGTTTGTTTGTAATTGACTGCCGCGCTCAGAAGTGTTTTCAGCTATATGACGGCAGTCCGGACCAGACAATCCAGTGATTGACATAATGAGCATCGATCCACGCAATTGGTTTGGTTTAACACCGCATTCAGCAATATTCAAGCTATATGACGGATGTCTAATTAATCGAGTCTGGACCACACAATCCAACGATTGACATCATGAGCATCATTCTACCCAATTGAGATACGATGACATACATCAACCAAGTCAGTGAGCCTGACCACCCGGTCCCGTCAGACGCCTCTCACGACAAGCATAGTCGCCTTTTATGGCAAGCATGGGTTGACGAAGACCTATTCTCCCCCGGATCTTCACAGGTCTCCGCGCAATTCGGATTCGATGACTAGCGTGAACCAAATCAGCGATCCTGACCACCCGATCCCGTTAGTTGCCTTTTACGGCAAGAATGGGTTGCTAGGTTGGTTTGGTCAGTTTACGCCCCACTCGGGGTTGATAGAAGACCTATTCTACCTCGGATCCTCACGAGTCCCGAAGTATGAGATACACATTGATGAACAATATCGGACACATGTACTGTAATGGTCTAAGTTTTGATGTCTTATTATCTTCATGTTAACAGTTACGGAAGAAAATAATCAGAAATATCACAGTTAAATCGATGTTGCCTTCCCGTACTTCTTCGAATTTATTAGGCTATGTCATCCGGAACGGAACTGACGAAATATATAAGCTGTTTTATTAACGATCATATTCTTAGATTTGAAAGTTCCATTCTAGACATGTTTTGTCAACTTACGCATGCATGTCATCGTAGTCCATGTTCCATCTGGGTTACATGTCATATTTCCGCAAGGCACATAGCCAACTTTGCAATTCAGCGTCAATGACTGGTTTATCGGAGTGAAGTGTCTGACCATTGAAGGGGCGGCATATTCAACAGTTGGTGGGTCCCTGCAGTCTGCAATATATATACATGGCAAAACATAACTTTCTGATATGAAATCTACACCTGAAATTAATTCACTTATACTTTGGTTGGTTGGTTTGTTGTTTAACGCTGCACTCAGCAATATCCCAGCTTTATGACGGCGTTCTGTAAAAAATCGAGTCTGGACCAGACAATCTAGTGATAAATATTATGAGCATCGATCCAATCAATTGGGATCGATGAAATGCATCAACCAAGTCAGCGAGCCTGACCACCCGATCCCGTTAGTCGCCTTTCACGACAAGCAGTCACTTTTTACGGCAAGCATGGGTTGCTGAAGAACTATTTTACCCCGGAATTTTCACGGGTCTCAACCTTCTAAACTGTAAAACACATATTTAAAGTATTTTTAATGTATTTATTTGTCAGTATAACAATATTGTGTAATCTGTATTACAACAAACATAATAGCTGTATTACATTAACTTGTATGACAAAAATTCGCTTATTCTTAAATCTGGAACCAAACGTAACTGCACTGTAAAAAAATCTGTGTTTAGGGTTTTAATATTTTAGTTTGAAGTTTGAAGAATTGATCAATATTCATGTTGTATGTAACACTTTCTAATCCTAGATTTAAATCTTCCAGTGCTTCAACTACCGACATCGACACCATCTTTCACTACCTGTATCACACCAAGGACACCTTTGCCCAATTTAGCGACTACGTCCAGATGAAGCTTATCAACAAGGAGTCGCATCTTGTTTGGAGCCAGTGGAGCCAGACTCCGAGCAGTAAGCTTCGAAAAAATACCAGAAGAGGATCTGGAACAGCATTTACTAAATCTTGGGAAACTCAGTGAAGACATCGAACAGAAACACCTCAAAGATGAGAGGCTTCTCAGGGCGGCAAAGGATATTAACGTCAACAGACGAGAGTGGATAGAAGCCCAGCTGGAGAGTGTAAGTGTCAAACAAAATAACTGACCGTTATCCATGTTTCACCAATCCCATCTTTGTAAGTTTGTCTATTTCAATGTTAAGAAAAATAGGCTTCACGTTTTAAAGTGAAAAAAAACCCTTTGAAAGTAACACAAGAAAAGACACTATACCGGGTGTGAACAGAAGTCCAAAAAGTATCTGCAGTTAGCTCACATTTTGACTAATGTGTGGCCTTTAGAACAGAAGTTCTAAAGCCCATTGCATTCAGTGTCATGGGACATCAGACTTAGATTTACTGATAGCGTTCAGTGTTCTATTTATTTTTCAACATAGTTTTGCTATTCAGAGTTAAAGTATAATTATGCAAAACACAATTCCTATTGTCACAATAATGGTACTATTCCAGTAGATAACATAAAATTTCTTGGCCTCTTACAGTAATTGATTTTGGGTGAAGTGTTCACTTAACAGAAATCCAAAACGTGTGTGCAGTTAGCTCACATTTTGACTAATTTGTGGTCTGTAGAAAAGACGTTCTAAAGCCCATTGCATTCAGTGTCATGGGACATCGGACTTAGAATTACTGACAGCGTTCAGTGTTATATTGATTGTTCAACATTGTGTGTTTTAATAGTTCTGCTATTCAGAGTTAAAGTATAACCATGCAAAACACAATTTCTATTGTCACAATAATGATACTATTAACTTTCGTTGTGAATAGAGGAGCTTGTGTCATCCAGGTATGACTAAAGATGATATAAACATGCTGTCAAGAAAAAATCTCATTACCTACTTAACATCTCCTTTCTGTTGTCAGTCTTTAGTCTGATTATATTATACAGATAATGCCCACAATGATTCTAAATGTCCAAGATCTCTCTCTCTCTCTCTCTCTCTCTACTAGTTCCATGTAGACTGCCGTACATGGACATCAGATGTACACACATTAACATCTTCTTTGACAGTACTTGTTTACTTGTGTTTAATTGCCAAATGTTTAATTTCTAAACACAAGTAGCAATGTAAACACGTTTTGGCGTTTAAAAGGGTGAGACATTGGTTAAACATCGTTAGGTGATTATATTGTAAACACCAGTACCGTTTAGAAACTAAACTATTGTTTACTTCGTATAAGATAATAAAAACAAAACGGTGTTTAAAAAGGTGAGACAAATAAGCGTTTAATTTTGCGTTTAATATATAAACACTCATTTTTAGAGTGTGCGCACTTCAAATGTTCTTTCAGGAACTTCGAAATCACATCAAATCCGAAATATTCACGTCTTTACGGCAAGTAAAACTTACATAGAATATATAAAGCCATCGATATTGTTTGTCTTTCTCATCTCCAGCCTCAATAAGCCAGTGATCGGGCGGGCGAAAAAAATATCAAAATTTAAAAAATAACTGCTTAAGCTAACTTTTTTTACACAACATTAAGTGCGTTACTCTAATAGTGTGCGTTTTAATCCCATATAGGTCTCGACCTAAAAAGCACAAGAATGAATACAACTATAAAGAAATTGTCATCCCAAATATAGCAATATGTTACATTGTGATATATTCTTCACACTGTTTTTGCATGTACGTCAAACTACATTACCCACAAAGCATACACGGGGACCGGTAAAGTATCCTTCTGTAGGGTTTGATCACGTTATATTATATGTTGAATGCAAAGGGCTTTGTTTATTCGATATTAACTTTAAGAAATCATGGGGCTTTTTACATAAATGGAGACGACTCCTGATCCGTTTCTTTCCAAGTCTCTGCACACCTGTATTGGTATCAAGCATCCAGGCTGTGTCCATCTATAGTTATTAAAGTCGTCCAAAAGTCATTTCAGTATCTGTGCTAAGCAGCATTTCCATGGATCGATGCTCATGATATCAATCACTGGATTGTCTGGTCCAGACTCGATTATTTACAGACCGCCGTCATATAGCTGGAATATTGTTGAGTGCGGCGATAAACAAACCAAACCAAATCCATATTTCGAGTACTCAAATCAGATATGGCCACGTGTGATGATTTTTTATGCTTGTCGTAAAAGGCGACAAACGGGATCGGGTGGTCAGGCTCGCTGACTTGGTTGATGCATGTCATCGATCCCAAGTGCGTGGATCGATGCCCATGATATCAATCATTGGATTGTCTGGTCCATACTCCGTCATATAGCTGGAATATTGCTGAGTGCGGCGTTAAACAACAAACCAACCAACATGTACATGGATAAGTGCATTACTGTCGCGGATAGCTTGTTAATAATATAGCAATAAATGCAGATATCTGTATTCACACTACGACAATCCACAGAACACAGTCCTGTTACAATTCTAGAAGCTCGGAATAACGTTGTCTCATTTTCTTTGTACATATGTTTTAGGTATAACAAGAAAACGTTTTCTGACCGTTTTAAGAAGCATCTTGGTCTCTGGAAATTGGTAGAATTTATACTGAATAGGAAAAAAGTCTTCGGACAGTCAAAGACGAATTCGGCGAAAGATTTGCAGAAAAAGTTACTCCCTTCAGAATTGCAGCAAAACGGCGGAATTTGCCCCTTTTTTAATCAATCAATAGACAAGCTTTTCTATTGCATTTGGCACTCAAACGATGCTAAAACATTTCAAATGCGATTGAAACATACAAAATATGAAATTTGAACCATATACAGTCCGTTTGACTCCAAATGAGAACGATGAATTGCAAAATAACTCAAAATTCAGAAAGGTGTATGAAACATCAATACGGTACTTGACCATGAATACCCTGTACCCAACAAAATCTGAATTTTGTTTAATTTAAGACCCATGACGGATGAAGTTCTTTAAGAAACTATCATGTAATTTTGTATAGAAATGTGTACATGACACGTAGGGGGACAAACCGTGGAAGGAACAGCGCAAGCACGGTCTGCTAGTGCTACACAGTGACCGTGTTCATTCAATGACAAGATGCGCTACTCAGTAGATGTTAAACAGTTGATGTTGAATGTGTATGATTTCTTTAGAAGTGAAGCAGAAAGAGCAAAGCCTTTTTATGGAATTAATAAATTCTTGAAACGAGCTTCAAAAGCTCTTGGTATGTCCCCTCAGAAACTTAAAAATGTTGTTAGTCGACGAGATACAAATAGTCAGGCCAAGGAGGTGGGGAACATGTCAAAACCACGCAAGGTTGATAAATTAGACAGTTTTCAGAGGGATCAAGTCAGACGTGCAATTGTTAAACTGCACTCAGAATATAAGTACCTGTCCCTAAGAATTTTGATGAAAATGACCATGAGTTACGTGTTACAAAGGACAAACTATGGCAGCTGTTGCATACATTTGGTTGCAAATACAAAAAGATAACTGGAGAAAATAGGGCTGTGTTGTGTGAACGGTCTGACATTGTTCGTCTCCGAAATCATTACCTTCGTACCATCAAGCAGAAACGTGAAGAAGGATATGAGCCCGTCTTCTTAGATGAGACACGGGTAAATGCGTCACACACAGCCAGCAGTCAGTGGGTACCCAGTGGTGACTGTAAGGAGTCTGGTAGAAAGTTACCAATGGGAAGGTTGTAAGACTCATAGTTCTCCATGCTGGTTCTGCTAGTCAGGGTTTTCTCCCAGACTGTGACCTCGTCTTTAGAGCCAAGACCAAAGACAACAGGGACTACCACACAGAAATGAACGGCAATGTATTGGAGTGGGTGAAAGATAAATTAGCCCCTGCTTTGCCTACCCAGTCTCTCATTGTCATGGACAATGCACCGTATCATAGTGTGCAGGATCCAGAAAGCAAGACTCCAACCTCTAATAACCGTAAAGGAGACATGGTTACTTGGCTGCAACGGAGGAACATTACCTTTCCTTCTCGAGCGACGAAACCACAGCTCTATGAATTCATCAAAACTATGAAACCTGACCCCGTGTATAAAGTTGACAGTTACATCAAGGGTCAGGGTCACGCTGTCTTACGACTGCCACCTTATCACTGCGACCTGAATCCAATCGAGTTGGTGTGGGGCATCGTCAAGGGTGACGCTGGACGATCGAACAACGTTCAAATTACAAGACGTTTAACAACTCGTAAAGGAATCCCTTGGTCGGGTAACAGTAGAAACATGGAGGCGTTGTGTGGCCAAAGTCGTTGACGAGACAGAGCCACGTTATTGGTCACGAGATGGACTACGGCCAGCAACAGTCCAACCTATAATAGTGGCAGTCGGTTCAGGCACCAGCAGTTCCGACGAGATCTATGGCATGAGCGAGTCAGATTGCGACTGAAATTATCATGAGACAGCCCCTCTAACGCTCTGACAAGCATAGTCACCTTTAACGGCAAGCATGGGTTGCTGAAGACCTATTCTACCCCGGAATCTTCACGGGGCGAATCGTCAGAGTTAACAAAACGCCTATGTGACAATGGTATTTCCGTAACTCTTAAAATAGAAACTCACGGGATACATTATTACTTGGTTACTATCGATTTTTGGAAGCTGCTATAACAACTTCTATCAATGGATTGTCTTCAAACCAGTGATTCCACGTACACTGCATTTTGTTCATTAGTTGAATAACGTTGACTGACGTTTCTCTAAATAATGGAGTCTGAACCAATTGCTGGGAATTGATTACTCGAAATCCCCACGGGCAATATATATACATGCGTAGATAATACCAAGATTAAATAACTCAGGTTTTTTTCGTGATAATAAAATAACGCCCTGACAAAACTTTAAAGGGAACCGCTGTATAATTATACTTACATGCAAGGACACACGCCAAGCCGCCATCCTTTGTTTCAGTACACAGTGTGTTGTTGGGACAGGAGTGGTTTTCACAGCCACCCGCTATTCTCTGTTTAATGTTAAAAAGATTGAATATAGATTCCAGTGAAAACATTTACGATTCAGCCGTTTTTCAAATACACAAACGTGTTCAAAAACTAAGCCCAGTACTCACCGTTGCATGGCAGGAGTTTGTTTAACGCCGCACTCGTCATTATTTCAGGGGGCGGTCGGGTAGCCTAGTGGTTAAAGCGTTCGCTCGTCACGCCGCACACCCGGGTTCAATTCTCGACATGGGTACAATGTGTGAAGCCCATTTCTGGTGTCCCCCGCCGTGATATTGCTGGACTATTGCTAAAAGCAGCGTAAAACCATACTCACTCACTCATTATTTCAGCTGGATGTCGGCGGTCTGTAAATAAGCGAGTCTGGACCAGACAACCCAGTGGTTGACATCATGAGCATCGTTCCACGCAATTTGGACACAATGATATGCATCAACTAAGTCAGCGAGCCTGACCAACCGATTCCGTTAGTCGCCTCTTACGGTTGGTTGGTTTATTGTTTAACGGCGCCCTCCACTAAAAATATTCCAGCTATATGACGGCAGTCTGTGTAAATAATCGAGTATATACCAGACAATCCAGTGATTAATATCATGAGCATCGATCCACGCTATTGGGATCAATGACATGCATCAACCAAGTCAGCGAGCCTGACCACCCGATCCCGTTAGTCGCATTTTACGACAAGCATAGTCACCTTTACGGCAAGCATAGGTTGCTGAAGACCTATTCTACCCGGGAATCTTCACGGGTATGAGACGGCAATATTCCAGCTTTATGACGGCGGTATAAACAATCGAGTTTGGACTAGACAATCCAGAGATTAATATCATGAGCATCGATCCCAAGTGAGTGGATCGATGCTTAGTCGCCTTTGACGGTAAACATGGGTTGCTGAAGACCTATTTTACCCGGTGTCAAATTTGTTTGTAGTACTTGGAAATGGGTAAAGACGTAGCCAAAGGAAGAAGATTCTGGCAACAAAATAACTCCTGGGGCTGGGATTTTGTATCAAGATCCCACATTTTTTCAGTTACAGTTACAAACCAGATATATGTTTTTTGGTATTGCTATGAGCCTGAAGATAAACAGTTTGCAACAATTTGGCAGGGAATTTCTTTTTTTTCACCAGTCTGAAGCATAAATAACTTTTTCAAGAATTTTCGGTGACAATATATTTTACCGATATAATGCCAGGCCGTGACCCTCCCAGAATATCAAATGGTCAGTCCCTTACCATGTCTGCCATTCTTATTTTGTTTCCTGCAGTACAAGCCTAATGGGTAACGGGGTCTGACTTTTTGTCATTGCATGTCATATGTATCTAGTTAACAGCTCAGCTCAGTGATATCACAACTTTGTAACAACTTGAAATTGTAAGCTTGGAGCTAGGTCTTCAGCAACTAACGGGATCGGGTGGTCAGGCTCGCTGAGTTGGTTGCTGCCTGTCATCGCGTCCACATGAAGATCCGGTGTAGAAGAGCAACCCATCTTCAGCAACCCATCCTTGCCGTTAAAGGCGACTAACGGGATCGGGTGGTCAGGCTCGCTGACTTGGTTTATGCATGTCATCGATCCCAATTGCGTGAAGATCCGGGGTAGAATAGGTCTTCAGCAACCCATGCTTGTTGTAAAAGGCGACAAACGGGATCGGGAGGTCAGGCTCGCTGACTTGGTTGATGCATGTCATCGGTCCCAATTGCATGGATCGATGCTCATGATATTAATCACTGAATTGTCTGGTCAAGACTCGATTTACAGACCGCCGTCATATAGCTGGACTATAGCTGAGTGCGGCGTTAAACAGCAAACCAACATCGCGTCCAATTGCGAGGATGGATGCTTATATCACTGGATTGTCTGGTCCAGACTGCCGTCTTATATATAAGATGGAATATTGCTGAGTGGCGTAAAACTAGAAACAAATCAACAAAATTATGCCCATTGGCATATATATATCTCATCGGATATTCGAGAATGGTTATTCTCCGGCGTTCGTTGTTTAACGCCGCACTCAGTAACATTCCAGCTAATGACGACCGACTGTAAATAATCGGATCCGGGGTCGGATGCTTGTCGTAAGAGGCGGGTGGTCAGGATCGCTGACTTGGTTGATGCATGTCATCGATCCCAATTGCCTGGATCAATGCTCATGATGTCAATCACTAGATTGTCTTGTCCAGACTCGATTTTTAACAGACCGCAGTCATATACATGTAACTTGAGCATTTCTGAATGCGGCGTTAAACAACAAAGAAACAAACAAACTATTTATTTGGCTACTCTCACCTGTGGCAAGGGCACGGGTGGCACAGTCGTTTAAGGCGCCGCGATTCGCTGTGCAGTGTTGCACGGAAGGAACCTAGGATTGTGGGTTCGAATCCCGGTTTGCCCCGATTATGTTTCTAGATTTGTCAGCACCATGCCCGTGCTCGTTGGTTTCACCTGACTGGTAAACGTCTGGGACCTGCATCACTTCGGGCTTTCCTCCCACATTAAGCTGACACGCCGTGTTACGACGTAAATTGTAATAAAAAGGTAAATTGTAATACTTGCAGCAAATTGTAATAATTTTGACGTAAAATGTAATAACAACGTAAATTGTAATAAAATTTGACGTAAATTGTAATACGCAAATTGTAATAAAAATTGACGTAAATTGTAATAATCTCAACTTGCGGTGAAATGTAATAACTTTACGTAAATTGTAATAACCTTATAAGTTTATTGTCAAAGGCGTTAAATAACTAGTAGCTATCCTTGTCAGGGATGGTACAGGGTTTATCGTACAATCCTCATTAAAGTATGGGTGTGGGGGAGGATTGAGGTCGTTATCGTATGTTGTATAATTATATGTATATATAAACGCATTGGAATTTCATTTCTATGGTTGTCCAGAAGAGGATTAATATTACCAGAATGAACTTAGTTTTCTTATTTATTTGAGAAATACTGTGTGTTTTGTACTTAATTATAATATATCCTATTGAAGATTTTCAAAAAATTCCATTGTCAACAAACAACATACTGTATCAATCTTTTTCGATCTAGAGAAAGCATATGATACAACGTGGAAACATGGTATTTTAAAAGATTTGCATGAATTTGGATTGAGGGGCAGATTTCCTCAGTTCATATCTCAATTTTTAAACAACAGACAATTTCAAGTACGAGTGGGCTCTACCCTGTCTGATCATTTTGATCAAGATCAGGGCGTCCCTCAAGGCAGCATACTATCAGTCACCCTTTTCAGCATCAAAATAAATAGTCTCACTAAAGTATTAAACAATAGCATTGATGGTTCACTTTTTGTGGACGATTTCAACATTTCTTGACGTGGTAAGAATATGAATACAATAGAAAGACAGCTACAGCTCTGTCTTAACAAAATTCAAAAACGGCTTCAAATTTTCTAAATCCAAAACAAACTGTATTCACTTTTGTCGTAAATACAAACCTCACAAGGATCCAGATTTATTTTTAGATGGTACTCCTATCAAGGTAGTAGAGGAGGCCAAATTCCTGGGCCTCATATTTGACCGTCATCTCACATTCTTACCACACATTAAATATCTCAAGGCAAAGTGCCTGAAGGCTCTCGACTTGTTGAAAGTCGTTTCAAATTCCGAGTGGGGAGGGGATCAGACCACCCTCCTTCACTTGTACAGATCATTAATACGCTCCAAACTGGACTATGGTTCCATTGTCTATGGTGGAGCCTGCAAAAGCAATTTAGAAAAATTGGACACTATACACCATCAAGGCCTAAGACTTTGTCTTGGAGCTTTTAGGACCTCTCCCGTGGACAGTTTGTATGTGGAGGCCGACGAACCTTCACTCGAACTGCGCCGCATTAAACTTTCACTGCAATATATTACTAAATTGCACTCAAATAAATCTAATCCAGCGTTCAATTGTGTTTTCCACCCTCAATATGAAAACCTGTTTCGAAATCTATCAAAATTGGTTCCACCACTTGGGATCAGAATTCAACCACACATCACTGCAGCTAAAATAGACTTAAATATTATATCACCCCACCGTCTTCTGTCTTCTCCTCCCCGGCAGATGGTGAAGCCAGAAGTAGACCTCACTCTAACCAATCTAAAAGTCGGCTACCAATCCTTTGGTATATCAACAATCATATAACCAATTACGCTCCAAATATAATTCTCACAGGTCCATTTTTACAGACGGGTCCAAGGATGGTGGCAAAGTTGCAAGTGCCACCGTCGTTGGATCCAGAACTGTCTCCTCAAGAATCCCAGATTTTAGTTCAATTTTTTACTGCCGAGGCCAAAGCTATCCTAACAGCTTTGACCTATATTAAACAACAAAACCAATCTAAAAATTTCATCATCTTCTCTGATTCGTTATCTTGCCTTCAGGCACTTAAAAGTGTCTCACCATATCACCCTATTATCCTTGACATTTTAGATCTCTATAATGATCTTTCCACTGGCCAATGTGACATCGTCTTTTGCTGGTTGCCAAGTCATGTAGGCATAACAGGTAACTCAAAAGCCGATGCTGCTGCTAAAGCAGCTCTTGACAAACCGTTATCTCCATTTCGTATCCCGTACAGTGATTTCAAACCTACCATCAAATCTTATACTCGGGATCTTATGCAAAAGAGGTGGGACACCCAAGTAGGAAGCAATAAACTCCACGAATTGAAACCAACAATCGGTCATACCTACTTGGGTTGTCAGTCAAGACATGACGAGGTCGTTTTACGACGGTGTCGTATTGGCCACAGTCGGTTTACAAACGAATATCTGCTTAAGACAGATGAGGACGAACCTCCTAAGTGTATCCCTTGTGATGAAAGGTTCACCGTTAAGCATATATTGCTTGACTGTGTGGACTTTGCAATCGCAAGGGATCCACATTATCAAAGTGTAAATCTAAAAGATCTCTTTTCCCGTATCAGCGGGCATCTCATCATAAATTACTTGAAAGAAATTGGTCTGTATAATAAATTTTAAATATGTATGTGAATAATTAAATGCTTGTTTTTAAATTTGGTGTGATGCTATTAGCAACTGACATTATTAAAGGCTCTGTCCAGGAGGTTAACGTAGCGTAAAAATATTGTCCCCCTGTGTGACACGTAATCCTCTAGTAATGGATGTAACTATCATCAACCAGTGTTTTAAGCCAACTCATTGATGAGTATTTTTTAATATTGGCTAGTATTGTGCACAACCACCAGTGGCTAAAGTGATGACGTAAATCCTGCTAGGGTATCATGCAGGAAGCAGAAGTACTGTAAGTCCCCATGATCCCCAGCGAGGTGGCCTAGCTTTGGTTACTGGTGGCCTATAGCCTGTTTTTTTTAACTGTATTAATGATATTGTAATGCTCATATGTTTCATCAATTGTTTTTAAATATAGTATGCTCCAATATGTTTGATAAAGTGTTTTTAAATATGTCATTGCATAAATGACTTAATTGTATATACATTAGCTTGGTCTCGTCGCTATATGGCTGAAATAATGCCGATGTGACGTTAAATTTTAACTCACTCACTCACTCACTATTGAAGATTTTCATCATAATTGTTCATATTTAACCTAATGGAATCACATTTCAATTGGTAAAGTAGGTAGTTATATACAAAATGGAATAATTATAACGTAACAAACTTACACAAATATATTGATGTGTAAATGTGGAAAGTCTGACTTTTACTGACTGAAGCAAATATATTTATTTTGCAACTGTATATTTGTACATATTTTATGCGGAGAGGGGTTTACTAAGTTGCAAGAACTTGTCCCCAATACAATTCTCATTTTGTTCTGTGAATAAAATATGTTTAAACTAAACTAAACTAGCAAATGGATGACATGTCATTCTGCAGTAGTCTTTGTGCAAGCTGATTTATACATGTTCATAATTATACAAAATATCAATTTATTTTTATTCAAGTTTCATTTTTTTTAACGTTGCTCGGAGGATGTAAAGCAAATAATGACAATGTCCTGGGCAATGTACATGTAGGTATGTGAACCCGCAAGGACTACCTTTATCGATTATTTTACGTGCAGCTTGTGTCATGTCTGTATTGTTAGAATGATACTCTAGCAACTGTACACATCGAAATTTATGACTGAAAGATCCATCCTCGGGTTAAAAATGATGGATTACATTAGGTACGTCTATTCGACAAATAGGATAATTGATTTATCATCCAATAGTAGCTTAGCTAGGAGCCAATTGCAATAACATTGAGTTACGAGTTACCGAAGAGAGCTCTGTGCAACCGGACCCTGAAATTATGTCGATTTGCATTGGAAGTTTACTTAATTTGATAAGGAGCACATGACCGTTTCCTTGAAACAAACGAGACAATTCAATCGTATTTATACATTATATTTTGACGAAGAATCAAATCCAACAACTGAGTGACAGATCTCCTGTGCAATGTCAAAGGGAAAAAAACCAGTCGTCAGCAAATGCAGCATAGATTTCCCATGCATGGGAAAGGAGAATACTTAATACATAACATTATATACAATGTTTTTATTAATATCAAAAGAGGGGCGTGGATATTCTTTACCTACATTGCATATACTATTAGATATTGTTTTTTCTCGATCTCTGTGAACTTCTCATAGATAAAGAAATACTAATAAATAAATGCAAACCATATTAACTTATGCAATATTTGTAGCAGTGTATGATTAACATATGGATGATTAATATAACATAAACTATTTCCTTTCATAGGAAGAAGTATGTTTAATGAAATAAATGAATAAATGTAACTGTCTGGATTCCATGAAGAACTAACAACAACTTACTGACAACTTTTGCTGGGATAATAACTCCTTGCCCCAACAACAAAAACAGAATCAATCATGATAACGGCACGAAATCATAATTCAAAGCTTACACAAATAATATCCGGTATCTTCGGGTATGTCTTGTTGAGTTTCAAAGAGAATCAGAATGTATAATAAATTTGTTGCAATCAATTATTGCTGAAATATATCTGTTTTGATCAAAATTGAAAGGATGGAAAATCTATAATGAAAAGGAATTTGTCACTAACGTAAATATTCTCTTTGACCTTATACGAAGAGTATTCTAAGATCGTTAAACTCGGCAATCGTTGGTGGTATGCGCCAAGCAACCTTGATGCCAAATTTGGTACCTCACCTATAATGCGGTACATAACTTTCGAAACAGATAATTACGTTTTTCATAAGTTATCACTAATTTGTGACATATATACGGACACACACACACACACACACACACACACACACACACACACACACAAACACGTGTTGCACACACTACATACCCATACAAAAACACACCCCACAAACACTATATGTATGTATGTATGTTTGTATGTATGTATGTATGTATGTATGTATGTATGTGTGTGTGTGTGTGTGTGTGTGTGCGCGTGTGTGTGTGTGCGTGCGTGCGCGCGCGCATTTGGGATTCGTATGTAATGACAGTAAATGTGAGCTCTATGTCATTGGTATCACATATATGATTGCACTTCTACATACTCTAGATGACAGTATCATGTACGCAGATGAAAGTATGTAAGTGGACGATAGTATCTAGATGGCATACTATCATCTACGTAGAAGATACTATCATATACGTAGATGAAAGTATCTTCTACGTAGATGATAGTATCTTCTACGTAGATGATGGTATTTTCTACGCAGATGGTAGTATCTTCTACGTAGATGATAGCATGCCACAAACATCACATCACTTCCAATAAATGTCTTTCACTATGTACCAGCCAAAACCACTGTACTCAAGGTACAACCAGGCATTGGTCCACTTCTGATGGCAAATAACTTTCTTCAGCTCTAATGCAAGTCCACTACCTTTTCCATACGTCATTATTAGCCTTCGGACACTGATAACAGTCGGTAAATTTTCTAACGGACAGTATATTCGAGGTCTTTTGATTTTTACGGATTTGGTTATGGTTCTAAAGGAACTTGAAACTGGAGTGTTATTTCTGAAGGTTAAGTACGTGGTTATCAACACAATGTATTTATATATAAAAATATATGTTTGGGATGCTCTCCTTGCATTTAAAGTGTGTTAGCAGTAGTTGAAAAGAGCGATTCAGCATGAAACCAAATTTGAAATGGGGTAAAACAGTTGTTACATAGTGTATGAAATACCCCCTGAAGACATATATTGCAGTCTCAAATTTAGAAGTTTTAACTCAATTTCAGAAAAAAAAGTGATAAGGGTAGGCAACTAGAACTAGGTAAAAAAAAAATCGGAGCAAAATATAATTTGACCTTTTGGTAAGTCACCAGTCATTTCATTGGAATTTTAAGAGAGTATGTTATTACAATGCTTGATGTTAGCCCAAATTATTTTAATCCTCTTAATCTTTCAGAGGAGGTTATGTTTTCAGGGGATTATTGTACGTATATATTTCGTATCAAGGTTTCTTGGCGAAATCCACCAACGATTGTCGAGTTTAATGATCTTCAAGTACGTTTCAAGGTCAAAGAGAAAATTTACTTTAGTGACAAACATATTTTTATTATAAATTTTCAATTCCTTTCTATTTGGAATACAAGCAGATATCTTTCAGCAATTGATTGCAAGAAATTTATGATAATTCGTATACTCTTTGAAACTGTACAAGAGTTATCCGAAGAAAACGGATGTTATTTGTGTATGCACGGATCTGTCAACTCATTTGTTGTATTTGAATTCTTCGTCAAAGTAAAATGAATTGTATAAATATGATTAAATTCCCTCAGTTTGTTTCAAGAAAAGGATCATGTACTACTTGTCAACCCGTATAGCGTTTCCACTGCAAATCGACACACTGGTTGACCAGCCTGTGTTTGTACCCTTTGTCATCACTCGTTCAGTCGTGTCGAACTGGTCGACGTACTGTTGACGCAAGTCATGCAAAAAACATCTTGAATAGCTTTATAAGAGTATTGAACAATCTGTCACAATTAAGTTATTTGTCGAATATACGGTTGTGTAACCCATCATTTTGAACCCGAGGATGGTCATTTAAATTTATCGATGTTGACACCATCCTTTAATGACGATTGTACGATAAAGCCTATACCAACCATCCCTAACTTAACAGTGTTGTACGTTTGTCATCATACACAGTATTTCTCTCATGGTACATGTGAAACGCAAGCTCAACTGACAAAGATCATTTCTAGTCAATTGGCGTCTCGGACACTACGGTAGTAAGGTTATTACAATTTACGTAAGAATTTATTACATTTTACCGCAAGTAGAGATTATTACAATTTACGTCAATTTTTATTAAAATTTGCGTATTACAATTTACGTCAAATATTATTACAATTTACGTAGTTATTACAATTTACGTCAAAATTATTGCAATTTGCTGCAAGTATTACAATTTACCTTTTTATTACAATTTACGTCGTAACACGCCGTGATATAACTGGAATAATGTGAAAAGCGGCGTTAAACCAAACTCACTCACTCAATCACTCATGCACTCACCTGTGGCCAGGCTTTGGACTCTGAGAACACAAAGCGCGGTACTGTCTCCATAGAAATTGATCCATCGGTGGTAGTGCCATCCTCACTACTGAGCTCGCATGTTCCGTCATCAAGCTGAAAGTTGTAGGACCTGCACATGCTTCTTAGTAGACATTCTTTTGCACAGCTGGCAAGGCCTGAAGTAGGAATAGTTTCAATAACAGCACCTTTTAGTCTTGAATTTTCCACCACAGGTAATTGACCTAAAGAAGAGCAGGTTTTCTCGTTGGCGCCAACGAAGGCGACATAACTATATACAAAGAATGACCTTGAAATGATCAAATGAAGCATTCTACTTTTTGAAAATACACATGTAGCTTCTTCAAATTCGTCTACCGTTGAAGAAACGCATCCGCGTTTTCCGCCTGGATATTACTTGACTGACTGACAAGCCGAACATAAATTCCATTCCTACTAAACAGTACCCGTGGGAATTGTATTATTAATACCTATTCTTAATGGCTGTTCACAAAGTCGTTGCAGACGATAGTTTTTTTCGATTTTTGTATCGACCATTACAACTTAACTGTGCGTTTGAGTCGTGACTAACATGTTTAATTAACAATGATCTACAACAAATATTTACTGGTTGTCATAGAAGTCAACAATACCTACGGATTAAGGTTTCAAATGCCGGCGCAATCATCAGTAGCCAGAGTGATGGTGTAGATCCTGCTTGCATGGGCACAGGCCCCTGAAGCAGGATAGTGATATAACTGAAACACTGGACCCATATATATAAATAGACAAGGTACGTCACTCGCCATCTTGGCCGAAGTGGAAATCGGCTGTATCGTTTAAATTAAATGGAAATGTGTGCATGTCATGTTCACAATACCTCCACACCTCCCTCCAAATACGACCTGTATGCCACAAACCTTTATTTTTTGTAATTTATTACCTATATCGGGCGATTTTATCGACACATTGGCTCAGTCGCGGCTGTGGGTCACGGAAGTAAACAAATAATCTCCGCGCTCAATGGCCTCGAGTGCTGTGATTGGTCCGCGCTCCAACCATAACAAACGCACATTGGGATATTTACCAATCAGAGCGCTCGAGGCCATTGAGCGCGGAGATTTTTGTATACTTCCGTGACCCACAGCCGCGACTGAGCCAATGTGTCGATAAAATCGCCCGATATAGGTAATAAATTACAAAAAATAAAGGTTTGTGGCATACAGGTCGTATTTGGAGGGAGGTGTGGAGGTATTGTGAACATGACATGCACACATTTCCATTTAATTTAAACGATACAGCCGATTTCCACTTCGGCCAAGATGGCGAGTGACGTACCTTGTCTATTTATATATATGGGTCCAGTGTTTCAGTTATATCACTATCCTGCTTCAGGGGCCTGTGTGCATGGGTACCATGTAGGTAGCAGAAATACCCTTAAGTCCCCATGGTACCTAGTATGGTGACCTACCTTTGGTTATTGGTGTTCTAGAGCCCATTTTTACTTTGTATAGTTATGAATAGTTCAAAATTGTATGATGACATGCTAGTTTTAAATCTACATCTGTGATAATCTTGTAATGTTACTGTCTTACGGTTTTATAGTTCAGTTTTGTGTATCAATAATATATAACTTATTTTGTCACGATATTGTTGAAATATTGCCGATGTGACCATAAACCTTAACTGACTCACCCCAATTTCAAATGCCGTGTATTGAGAAACAGGCCGGGTTTCAGGCAGACGCTGGATCGTTTGAGTGTGTTGTTGAACGCCGCACATTTGAGAATGATTATGGTTTGACGCTGCTTTTAGCAAGAAAACAAACTTATTACTATCCCCCGCTCGGGTACATCCAAATTGTTTGTTCGTATAGTAGTGAATGATATGGAAGTTAGCACTATGTACCCTTTAGATGGGTGGTTTGTTGTTTTACGCCGCACTCAGCAATATTCTAGCTATATATATGACGGCGGTTTTGTAAATAATCGAGTCTGGACCAGACAATCCAGTGATTGACATGAGCATCGATCCACGCAATTGGGATCGATGACATGCATCAACCAAGTCAGTGAGCCTGACCACGCGATCCCGTTAGTCGCCTTTTACGACAAGCAGAGTCACCTTTTACGGCAAGCATGGGTTGCTGAAGACCTATTCTACCCCGGAATCTTCACGGGTCCCGCCGTCATATAGCTGAGTGCGGCGTTAAATAACCAACCAACTGTGATAAACAGTCTGTATGAAAAATCCCTACTTCTCATACTGGTAAGTATACTTAGAGGTTCCATTAATGCTTCCCAGACCTCAAATTATGCCAGAACACAGAAAAGTTACCGCAACCTCTTCGCCAAAACTACAAAATGGCGGCCGAAGTTGAAGGTCGTTTAGCGGTACTTTTCATGAAAGAAAATAAGTCGAAAGCATGGCTCTCAGAAGAAAGCAAAACGCACATAATAAACTTTGACACACCCAAATGGGTCTGTGTTGTTCATGTTTTGTGACTGATCATATGTAAGCCACGTTTTTCAATATTTCATGAGGCGTGTCGATTTATTAAAAGTAGGTTGGTAACAACGGCATATATGCCGTCACACAGCTGCAATATTGCTGAAAGCGGCGTTAAACAACAAACAAACAAACAAACACACATTTGGTGTTACTTAATATGTTCTTGCTGTTTGTTTGTATATTGTTTAACGCCGCACTCAGCAATATTACAGCTATAAGACGGCGGTCTGTAAATAATCGAGTCTGGACGAGACAATCCAGTGATTGATATCATGAGCATCGATCCACGCAATTGGGATCGATGACATGTATCAACCAAGTCAACGGGCCTGACCACCCGATCCCGTTCGTCGCCCAGCTCTTACGACAAGCATATCTTGTTACATTGAAATTTAATCATATTAACACTTAAATTTGTATTGAAATTAAAACATTCGTAAGGGTTAGATGAAGCTAAATGTGTTTGGTGTTACTTAATATGTCCTTGGTGTTACCACAAGTCAGCAAGTAATAACTTTGAAGATAGTCTTATAAGGTAAAAAACATGTCTTATGCCATTGTTATTACATCTTTTAACTCATATTTCCACTTGACCCCGGGTAGAATAGGTCTTCAGCAACCCATACTTCCTGTAAAAAAAAAGTGACCCGTGAAGATTCTGGGGTAGAAAAGGTCTTCAGCAACCCATGCTTGCCGTAAAAGGTGACTATGCTTGTCTTAAAAGGCGACTAACGGGATCGGGTGGTCAGGCTCGCTGACTTGGTTGATGCATGTCATCGATCCCAACTGCGTGGATCGATTCTGATGGTATCAATAACTGGATTGTCTGGTCCAGACTCTATTATTTACAGGCCGCCGTCATATAGCTGGAATATTGCTGAGTGCGGCGTTAAACAACCAACCAGCCAACCAACCTGATCCTGTGGGTCCCGCAATGAACATCGTAAAAGGATGATGTAGGGTCAAAGGGGTGGTCACGACCTCTTCATCATCATCATCCCCACATGACGCCATCCTGTGTTCTGGCTGACTGACCCACGGCAGCAGCGGTGACGGTGGTGGTGGATGAGAGTAGCTTCCCAGAGGAGAAGTGTTTTCCTGTCGGGGTTGCAGAGGTTTATGGAACCGTCTCATATGTCTCTCCATATTATCATGTTTAGTGAACTGTTTCCCACAGTCTGAACACCATGTGGACTCCATCACGTGTTACAAGGCAACTGATCTTCCAAGCATGGCCTTTTTCTGTTGTCTATTTTTTTAATATTTTATTCATTACTTTTTCTTTACTTTTACAATGAGCATGTGCACTGACATGACAGACAGACAGACAACGTAGACGACAACAACAACCAGATACATAGGAAATACGAAAAGACAACTGAGGAGGGAGTGCTTTGCATGTCCCTTCAACAACGCCAAAACTTTTCATCTTCCATCTTCAAGCTCTTCGAGTGAAGATTGGGTCACCATAAGATGTGGTCCTCCATCATACTGTCCCAAACAGGTCCCAAACATGTTAGGGACTCATCAGTAACACAGGTACAGTCTATGGCCTCCCTGAAACAGACATGACACTTCACTTGACCACTGTTGCAGCTTATGTATCTCAGCATATTGTTGTGCCGACAGGCACTACATTATATTGTAAGGAAGTGAGTTGAGGTTCTCCATAAGGATCCTGGTCAACGTTGTTGTCGTCGTTGCAAACCATGGGCATACCTGAGGAGAAGACATTAAAATCCTCCGGTGATGCTGGTGACCAAGAAGCATCAAGCAGGGTGGGTGTGTCAAGATCCATGGAAGGGAGGGCTGTCAGCTTGAGCGCTTCATGATCATCACCGTCACTGGTCGTCATCATCACAGACGCATTAGGCGAATAGGTTGGCTCCCGAGGGGTTTGTTCCCACCACTGTTCCAACACGGACTGCGCTGAACCGACATCGGGGGAAGGAAGGATGGGTGTCCTGTCAATCCAACAAGAAAAGAACCCTTCAGTATACCCACGATCATCGTCATGCATTCGTGATACTCATCATCATCATCATCATACAAAGAATTACATGGTACTTACAGCTGTTCTTGATGAGAGATCTTCAGAGACAATTTCTTCCCTGGTCGTCTTTTTGCAGGTGTTGCAAGTTTCAAAAAGGACGTCCCTTTTGTTTCGCTGTCTGATGCTGCTGTGGTGGTAGCTGGTGCTGTTGTGGTGGTGGCAGTTGCTATTGTTGTTGATGCTGCTGCTGCTGGTTTGCTTGTTTTTTTCTTCTGGGTCTTCTTTATCGTCTTCTTAAGTGCTACTTTCTTGGGTTCAGTTAGTTGCCTCATCTTCGAACGTATCATGTCGCACATCACTTCGTCGGCCTTCGCACGTAACTTGGCGTACACGTCGTCGGCCTTTATCTTCGCACACATCACGTTGTACACTTCACCCCACAGTTCAGCAGTAATTTCACCGTTCACATCTCCAGTCCACCCATGTTACCACCCATGTCGCTCTGTGTCTTGGCATTCATCAGATTCGACATGATGTTGTCAGGAGACAGATAACAAGCCATTCGTGCCTTTGCAGCTCACCCCTTTTGTGGGAGAAGAAGTAATCTACTTCTTCTCCGAAACGGCCCTTTTCAGGGCCACCCATCTCTCACGAAAGAATGCTTTCATCCATGGCTTTGACGACCCTCAAACCCAAACAAAGAACCCACCTCCTCCTCCCTCGACCCCCTTCTTTTTCTTTGGAAAAAAAAGAAAAAAAGTAAATAAAGGATTTTACACGGGCTTCTTTCAAGTTTGATCTTTTCATATTGTACGAGCGCTTCTTAGGGTTCCCCTCCCCGGAAACGGATGTCCCGTCCTCTTGGAGGTGCGCACCCCTCCCGGAAACTGGACGTGCCGCCATCTTGGGTGCGCACGCCACCGGAAACGGATATGCCGCCGTCTTGGATGCGAACGCACCACCGGACGTGACGTCATCACGGATGCGCACGGAACCGGAAGTGACGTCATCGCGCA